TGCAAAGCAAGCGGCCGACAGGCGAGTCCGGCAGCAGCTGCGCAGGCGGCGGGTACATGTGAGAAGTTTGTGAAAGGAGATGAGAGAAAGGGAGAGGAAGGCAAGGCGGGCGGCTGCGAACACCTGGCCGGGCAGCCCCGCCAGCTGCCTCCCCGCGATGGCATCTTGAGTTCGGCCGGCTGTCCTATCGTCCTATCGGGGCCATCTCCCATTCCACCCCACTTCCCCTCCCTAACTCCGAGGTGGAGCTTGGCCAGGGATGGAGGTGAGAGCGGGTAGTTGCTGGCTTCTCCAAGTGGCCTCCTCCGGAAGCATGCCTGGAACAGGGCCAGCCTGTGAGCCCCTGAAAGCAGGGCCTTCCAGGAGAGAAGGGAAACCCAGGTCACCCCACTTCCTTAGCCCTCCCCCCCAACTTGGGAGGCCTTGAAACTGATGTTAGCCCAGGGTGTTAATTAATATAAACCTGAGTTCCATTCCTCACTCTACTGTGCTTAACTGCATGGCCTTAGGCATTTCAATTTCTCTGTGCCTCAGTTTTCTCATCTGTAAAATGGAGATAATAATGTCAACTTCACAGGCTCGATGTGGGGATTCAGTACAATAATTCTAATGCACATAGCCTGGAGCTTGGCACTCAGGAACCACTCCCTAAATGGCTCATCTTGTTGTCACTACATCATAGGTCAGAACCTTGGAGAGACTATTCATGCATGCATGCATTCAACACAAATGATTGTATTAAGCTCCTACATGATGCCTCACTCGTAGACATAGCACTGGAGACACAGGGAGGGATAAAACTCATCCTCAAAGAAGTCCCAGGGTCCTTTAAGGAGCAGAGACCATAAAACAGCACATTCTTACTAAAGGATAATTAATAGAGAATGATGCAAAAAAACCTCAAAGAATGAAAACTGTCTCTTGGAGTCCAGGTCACCTGCACGCTAATCACAGAGGTCTATTAAAAATCACCTTTGTCCTTGTGGTCAAAGTCTCTGTGGCCCTGTGATTTTCAGAGGCTACAGATGATTCCTGCTCTCAATAAAGTGGAAAACCACCGGCCCACAGGAAAAGGCCTCTGCCCCCTGCCCCAGCCTCCCAACAGTGCTAGTCCATCTGGAGGACATAGTGCTTTGTGCCCTGATTTCGACTTCCATGTGGCAATTTTCTATCCCCACTAGACTGTGAGCCCCTGAAACGGTGTGCACTATACTTATAGAACCGATCACAAGACCTAGCTGTCAGTAGATATTCTGAAATGATTGCAGAATGAAAAAAAATGTCCTCTTAGTGCCACTTGCATAAGTGCCCATGTGGCTCTTACTTGGACCTTCAGACAGATTTTGTTTGGCCTATGCGGGTGTGTGTGTGTGTGTGTGTGTGTGTGTGTGTGTTTTAGCTGTAGCTTAATTATGATTAAATCCATCCATTTAAAGAAAGGTGGGGACATGTACTCTCCAGTTTACCACAATCCCAATCTTCCCTTTTACACACACAGCTCATTTATTTTTACTAGATTTTCCTGTAACAGAATTTAGGTTTGCAAATCCTGTAAAGTGTAGAGGATGTTATCGACTGTATGCTAAGGCTTTCCTTTCTACTGCATTCCATATGGTCTTTTCCTCCTTTCTTCTCCAGTCTGTTATCTCCAGGGCCTTCTCAGAAAGATGGGTCCCTAAGGATGGGTGTCATCTTACTACTGGCTGCCTGGAGCTGCTAGTAGACCTTCTTAAAGGGAAGAATAGTAAAAACCCAGGGAACATAGGTGGCCAGATGCAAGCTTGGGTTTTGATTTGTGATCCTAATGCCCTGGGATGCTGGAGTGGAGGCTGGTGAGCTGAAGGTCAGCACTGGAGGCCTAAGGGGGCCAATTGGTTTTGCTCTGTCTCTGACCCCTGCCTGACCTCAGTGCTGGCTAGTATCTCCCAGGCCCCCAAGGGGGCAAAGCAGGGAAGGGTAGATATGGATGGGCCTTTCCCTCTGTTTCTAGAGGTTCAGTGTCACAAACAACCTAGAGTATTATGGAGTGAGTATGGGCCTCAGGGCACCATAGGCCAGGCTAGTTACATATTTTTCTCTCTGAGGGATACAATATTCCCAGCTTCCCATCCTCTTTTCTCTTTTGAGTTTAGGCAGAAAACAAGAATGAATGGTCCTAAAGTGGTCCTAAAGCTGGTGAGTGATAAAATAACACTGCATGCAGCTTCTGGGGAGATGAGCATCCCTGGAAAGTAGCTCTGATTTGCTCAAAATATGTTTCACTTAAATCAACCAGGATGATAGTTTTTTTGCTAGGACTGAAGCACTTAGCAATCATTTAGTCCAGCCCTCTCCTTGTGGGATAGGCAGAGCATTAGAATGCTGTCCAAAACCCAGCCCTCCTGAGGCCCACAGTTCTGGTGCATAGTCTGTAGTTCAAGAATCCCACCAGCCTTGCTCTGTGTCTTGTGCATGGACCCACATCCCTCCGCCATGGGGCAGTTTCAGGTCAGTTTCCTGCAGCAGACTTCAGACTGGTGACTCTGTGAGCATGGGGAAGGAGTCTCACTCACAGCTGTGTCCCAGCCCTCGGTGTGGGGTCTGGCAGGAGCTACATAAATGGAGAAGACCAAGGATCCAGTTTGCACATGCAGGCCAGCCATTCTCCAGGGAGATGACCCAGGCTGCTCCCACTCCCAAATGTTTTTTCTCCTTAAATTGAAGAAGAAGGAAGAGAGTCATATTTATTCCATGATTTCACTGTGCCAGGCCCTGTGCCAACTGCTTATCTCGGGGTATATTCTTCACAACCAGCAGTGTAGGAAAACTATTATCTCCATTTAACAGATGAGGAATCTACAGTACAGAGACCCTGAGGTGGCTCAAGGCCTCTGGCAAGCAAGACGAAGCCTAAGGGCAGGGCAGCGCCCCAAACCACCAGGTTGTGAGGAGCCTTACTGAGCACTAAGGATGCATCCACGCTCAGCGCTGTTTTGTCCGGTTTAGCTCCGAACGTCTTCACCAGAACCCAAGAAAGCAGGCGCTGGTGCAGTTCCCATTTTAGAGCCCAGGTAACCGAGACTCACGGAGGTTTAATGAAAGGGCCTTGCTTGACCTTCCGCACCTGGGCTGGGCGATTTTATGTAGTCTGCAGGGCGGAACACCCCCCCCCCCCGCCCCCGCCCCGCCCCCTCCAAGGGCTCTGTGGTGAGAAACTTTGACGAGACTTGAGGATCGGAAACCCCCGGGATCTAGGCCGGCCTTCCTCTTAGGCCAAGGGGTGGTGTCTCCACCACCCCGCCCCCACCATACTAACATCTGGGAAGCCCGGCCACGCCCCGCGGCGCGCGAGGCTCAGCCGCAGGTTGGGCAGATTTTTGAAACCCTGAGGCCTCTCCCCGAGTGGAGGCCACAGGGGCTCAGCTGGGCGCTGAGGGCTTCTCTCCGAACCTGGTTTTGCTTTCTTTGGAGGGCGGCGCGGCCACAGTCCCAGGATTTCCCATCCATTATTCACGATGTTTACTAGCGCAGGGAAAGGAGAGGAGAGGAGGAAAGAAGAGGGGATGGGAGTAGAGGGGAGGCGGGGGCGGAGCAGCACTAACTCCGGAGCAATTAGGTCCCAAAACGTCATGCAGGAAGACAAAGTAGCTCAGTGGTTAAGAGCCTGGAGAGCCCTACCTTGGCGTCGGGCACACTTAGGCCACCATTTATGGAATGGATAACGAAACGAGCGAGTGAATGAATGAATGGCTGTTTCCAACAAGCGACGTGTCTTAGCCAGCCATTTAACGTCTCTGACCCTCGTTTTCCTGTTTTGTAAAACGGAATAACAGTACGTCCTCCACAGGGTGCGAGGACATCAAGAGCTAACTCTCTAAGTTGACTAGCACATATTAGGACCTCAAACATGGCAGCTATTGTTATGGGGAATGGGGTTTGTAAGCGCAGGCGGCCCAACAGAAGTGCACTGCCTGACTCCCAAGGTCTCGGGGTAGCCCTGAACTCACTATTCTAAAAAGTACTTAGTAAGCTTCCTAGGCTGGCGGGTTGAGGAGAGGGGATGGGGCCAAGTCGTCTTAAGCAAAAGCTGGGAAGGTAAGCGTGGGGAGGAAGCCACAGGCCTCCTGGACTGGGCAGGCAGTTACTTCCCCCGCCTCCACCACGCCGGGCAATTGGGGGGTGAGGGTCACCTGGGGCTCATTATGGCAGCCCCTCGCCCTTCCCGGAGCCCGTCTGGGTGATTGGAGGCGCCTCTTAGCTGCGCCGCGGGGCCGGACTCTAGTGGACGGCTCGGGCGTGAGGCCAGGAGCGCCCTGGAAATGGGCAGTTTGGCGGCAGCCGGTCGGACAAGGGCTGTGTGTGTGTGTGTGTGTGTGTGTGTGTGTGTGTGTGATGGGGAGCTGGAGTAGGGTCAGCCTCTGGGGCCGGTCGGACAAGGAGTGTGTGTGTGTGTGTGTGTGTGTGTGTGTGAGAGAGAGAGAGAGAGAGAGAGAGAGAGAGAGAGAGAGAGAGAGAGAGAGATGGGGATCTGGAGTAGGGTCAGCCTCTGGGCCCCGCTCAGGCCGTGGCTGCTCTTCGATCCGGGCAGTGAGAGCTGGGACAGGACGGAGAGGTTTGGGACTTTGGGGGGAAAGTCCAAGAAGAGGAAGAAAGAATCCGGAGGTGGGCCAAGCTGGAGCCAGGCGGGGCGGGGCAGACGGAGAGAGGCCCGGCCCGGCCGGGGTATAAATGCGGTACCGGGGGCGGCCGTGGCGGGCCAGGAGGCGCGCGGAGAGCGGCTGCCTAGCTTTGCCTCTCCGGCCCTTGCGAGTCCTGGGCGCGCGAGCACGCCTGCGCGCTCCCGGGCCCTTCCTGGCAGGCTGCTTGTAAGATGAGTGAAGAAGCAGGTGGGGGAGAGGGGAGGCAGCGAGCGAGAGGGCGAGGGGAGCGCGGGCGCTGAGCGGCACTCACTTGGAGCGCGGCGAGCGAGCGAGACGAGCCTGATCCATGTCCCTCGCTGCCTCCCTGCCAGACGCGCGAAGATGATGGCCATGAACACCAAGCAGCCTTTCGGCATGCACCCGGTGCTTCAAGAACCCAAATTCTCCAGCCTGCACTCCGGCTCCGAGGCCATGCGCCGAGTCTGTCTCCCAGCCCCGCAGGTACGTAGTGGAGCATAATTACCGCTCTAAGGCACATTTTTTGACAGGCACTTGCTTCATGTTTTTTTCATGTCTCCCAGAACAATCGCTGCTGTCTGAACCCCTCTCCTGTCTCCCCTGCGCTCTCTCCCGGCGCCCTCTCTCTCTCATTCATGTCTCTGATCCACACGTCTGTTCCAGCAGAACCTCTGTCTCCGTATTAATTTTTATGACCTGGGTTTTGAGGAGAGGCATCTCGGTTGCTTGAAAACGTGTTTTAATCCTGAGTTGACAGTATTCCCCACTGACCGTGCTGTGCGCCTTCTCGCTTGCAGCTGCAGGGTAATATATTTGGAAGCTTTGATGAGAGCCTGCTGGCACGCGCCGAAGCTCTGGCGGCGGTGGACATCGTCTCCCACGGCAAGAACCATCCGTTCAAGCCCGACGCCACTTACCATACCATGAGTAGCGTGCCCTGCACGTCCACTTCGTCCACCGTGCCCATCTCCCACCCGGCTGCGCTCACCTCGCACCCGCACCACGCGGTGCACCAGGGCCTCGAGGGCGACCTGCTAGAGCATATCTCGCCCACGCTGAGTGTCAGCGGTTTGGGCGCGCCAGAGCACTCGGTGATGCCAGCGCAGATCCATCCGCATCACCTGGGCGCCATGGGCCACCTGCACCAGGCCATGGGCATGAGTCACCCACACGCCGTGGCGCCTCACAGCGCTATGCCCGCATGCCTCAGCGATGTGGAGTCGGACCCACGAGAGCTGGAGGCTTTCGCGGAGCGCTTCAAGCAGCGGCGCATCAAGCTGGGGGTAACTCAGGCGGACGTGGGCGCGGCTCTAGCCAACCTCAAGATCCCGGGCGTAGGCTCCCTCAGCCAGAGCACCATCTGCAGGTTCGAGTCTCTCACTCTTTCGCACAACAACATGATCGCGCTCAAGCCAGTGCTTCAGGCCTGGCTGGAGGAAGCTGAGGCTGCCTACCGAGAGAAAAACAGCAAGCCGGAGCTCTTCAACGGTAGTGAGCGAAAGCGCAAACGCACGTCCATCGCAGCGCCAGAGAAGCGCTCACTCGAGGCCTACTTCGCTATTCAGCCGCGGCCCTCATCCGAGAAGATCGCGGCCATCGCGGAGAAACTGGACCTTAAAAAGAACGTGGTGAGAGTCTGGTTCTGCAACCAGAGACAGAAACAGAAACGAATGAAGTACTCGGCTGTCCACTGACTGCGGCGGGGCGCAGCGTCCCGGGCCAGGAAAGCTGAGTGTACGTCCCGGGGGGACGGTTATGGGGGACTCCAAGACGTTTTCTGGCAGGTCAGGCTCTCTTCCCCGAAGCCACAGGCTTTCCCCTTTATCTCACCTGGTTGTGTCCTGGCCTTCTGTTTCTCTTCTTTCCATTCTATTCTCACCAGGAAAGCTTTGGCGCTAAGGAAAAAGTCATGAAGGGTAGGCCTGGAGGGACGTGTGCTGTCCATGGTGCTGAAAATCTCCCTGGAGCGCTGGACTGCGAGACCTCAGGGCAGGATCCCAAACAAAGGGGAAAGTGAATTGGCCCGAGCACGGGACTGCGGTGAAGGGGCCACTTTGCTAAGCACGATTAGGCAAGGGATGAAGGGATGGGAAGAAAGTGATAAATAATAATGCAAAGTCTAACTGGGGAACACACATGTACTGGAGATTTATTTAGAGTATATAAAATCATGTATGTTTCCAAAGGATAGTCTTATACTTCCTTCCCCGCCTAAATTTTATCCATCTCATTCTTTGGTTTGCTGTAAATTCTCTAAGGTAGCATGGACTGAGTTCAGGGAAAGTGTGCTGGGAGTTCTGGCCTCTGAGCGGTTCTCCGGTCCTCCACATAGGTCAGACTCCAGAAAAGCGCCCACATACTGAGATCACTTAGCTGTTCGCAAGCAGCAGCGGACACTTGCTCTGGCCCATCCTCTACTATCTGCTGTCATTGAAGTGGTAATTACTGGCTGCTGCAGAGCGAGGGATTGACAGTGTTCCCCACGGCCTGAGAACGCTCCGACCCCAGCTCTTGTCTCCAGCTAGACTCCCAGCGCACTGTAGAGGTGGCCTCCGGAAAGTAATTGTAACTTCTCCGAGTCATATGCAAGTCCTTCCAACACGTCTAACCTCGTCACTCTTTCATTGTTATTGTTAGCATCGTTGTTTCCTGTTATTTATTTAATGTCACTTCTTTCCACCTCCCTTATGTGGGTGCCTCTGGGTGGAGGTTCACCTACAGTTTTGGGTGGAAAGAGGGGCCAGATCACTGGTCTGGATCCTCCTCACTGCACTCCCTTGAGCCCCATCACATTTTATTTTTCGTTGCTTCATGTAATTTGCGTGTTGCTGTGTGATCTTTGATTTCGTTCTTCGAGTAGATGCAAATAAATATTAAGTTTTCTTCTCTCTTTACCCTTTCAATTAACTTCTAAAATAAATCCTTTATTTTTCAACCCAAATTGCAGTGCTTTTCTTTCTCACATGCTAAGGAGTACTCGTTTTGGAAAAGATTTAAAAGTGAGAGCCCAAATGGTCTGGGCGGTCACTTCCAGGCAGGCCAGTCTCCCACCATCTCCTCTCCTTTGCCCTCTTCTTTGGTCGTCTCCTCCTCTCATCCCACTCTCCTCCCGGGAGAGCCTGCCGCTGATGCCCGGACCTCAGAGTTTCAAGTCACCCCCCCCCCCCACGCATCCCTGAGCGCACAAATCCATCAGCCTCTGTTTGCTCAACTGGACTCAGATCCCACTAAGCCTGACTGCTGTTTGCAACCCCAGGGCTTCCACTCACTGGCTGGACGGCCCCAGAGCCAGTTTCTTAACTTCCCTGAGCCTCTGTTGTTTGTCTGCTGGATGAAGGTGCTAATATTGTCAGGGCTGAGTAAGATTGTTCATTTAAAGCGTCTGGTAGTGGTCTGATACTTAACAGGAAACACTATTATTTTAATACATTTAAGCAGCTACATAGGAAATGAGGTGATGGATGCAAAGAGGGAGGAAAGTGTTCTTCCCTGGGGCAGAGTCCGTTGGGCCCCCTTGGTGTGGTCTCTTTAGAAATTCGTTTGGAATTTTCACCCAAGAGGTTACTTACTATGGTCTATCTCGGCTTCTGCGTGAGGCGCTAAATGAGATGATCCTAATGTAGTGCCTTGTGCATAGTAAGTGCTCAACAGATGCTAGTTGCCTTCCCTCTCTTCCGCTTCCTCTAAAAGGGGAGGAAACCTTTTTATTTGTGAGCCACAGAAACACCTTCATGATTTAAAAATTAATGCTCCAAGTCAAGGAGTCATCTGCACATATCCCCTCTATATCTTCAAAGAACTCTGGATCGTCAGACCTCCAGCCCAAACTTCGGAGCCCAGCGGGTCTCCCCTCGGCGCAGTGTGCCCCTTCCCTCGACCCCGTCCTGCACAAGCAAACCTGAGGATCGCCCTTAGCCCCAAGGCCTCAGCCCCTCGCCCCCGCCTGGTGCAACAGCCTCGGCGATTCCTCCACCCCCTCTCCATCGGGTGTCCTTTAATAATAAATGCCCTTATGCCATTACATTATATTGTGGGTTTTGAAAATTTAAAATACGGCTGATGCAATATTAATTGCCCATAGTGGTATAAAGCACAGGCCGGAGCCCAGCCGGGCTGCAGAGGAGGCGGCCGTGAGCGTCCCGCGCCGAAGCGAAGCGCTCCAGACAGACGCGTCTTTGCGGGCTGCAAGATTTCCTTCAGGTAAGAGCCTTCGGCTTTTCTGGCCCAGGAAAGAACCGGATATTCGCCTTCATCTCCTTTTCGAAAAGTTTCTTGCTGTTATTAATTTCTTTTTTTTTAATTATTAACCTCAAAAGTTTAGAAGACTTTTTTTTGGAGAGGGAGAGATGAGTCGGCCGAGTCCGAGGTCTGCGTCAGAAGGGCCGGGCTGGGTTCTGAGAGGGACCCGCACCTCTACACCTGGTCGGGTCCAGGCGCCGGAGACTGCAAACGCGGCCGAATATTTTGACCAGTTTCTACCGAAGGGCAGGAGCTGCGGCCAGGCCACCCCCTCTTCCACCCCAGAGTGCGCCGGCCCGGCGCCGCTGCCTTCCTACTTGGGCTCGCTCAGGAAGCAATGGGAGCTGTGGTTTCTCCGGAATTGTGCAGTGGCCTCTGCCACTCGTCTGTTGGAGGCACAAACCTCTCAAGAGTGGCGGCGGAGGTGAGGGGTGCTAGCCAGTTTGGGGTTTATGTTGGCCTGGTGTGCATCCTGGTGGGCCATTTCCTAATCGTGTGACCTTGGGCACATCAGGTCACCTCTCCAAGCCTCTGCTGACGGCTGTAAAACCTCACGAAATTATATTAAGACATTGAAAAGCACCTGCCAACTTGCAACATTCATTGGCCAAGGCCCAGCTGGGAGTTTCTTTAAACTGTACAAGAGAAAGTGAGGCCCACGTTCACAGCTGTTAATGTGGAAAGCTGCATCATGCCTCTCAAAGTGGGACTTTGAGGGTCATCTGTGGACCAGGCAGAAGGAAGGCTTCTAGGGCACCTGCCCGGCTGGAACCAGGGCCTGACCCCCAGTAAGCTAGGCATAAACAAGCCAGCATGGCTGAAGCCCCAGGAGGCAAAACTTGCAGGCAGGTAGCCTGCCTTTCCAGAGTCTGAGCCATGTGATCTCTGGCCAGTAGCTTCCTCTCTGGGTGCCTAAGGCAGCGTCAGTTTTGTGCACTCTTTTAAGCCCAGTTCCTAGTTCAACATTCAGCCCAGAGAGGCAGACAATAGGTATGTGTTGAATGTAAAATGGAAGGACCCCTTCCAACTCAATCCTCTCTAGAATCTAAGGAGTGCACGGGAGAACAAGAATAGACAAGTATCTCTGGGGTGGGGTCAGGGTCTAGGTGGTGGTTTGCACCTCAAGCTTCCATGCAAAGGCAGCCAATTTCCTTCCTGTTTAAATGAGGAGAGGCCTTGCCCGGCTCTGTGGTGTTCATGGGTACAGAAGCAGTGCTCTGTGACATGGGCCCTTGGTACCTAGAGGAGGAATCAGGGAAGAGCATCAGGGGGTGACCTCTCCCCTGCTGAGAGTGTGTGAGTTTCTTATGACCCTATGGTGGTGCCTGAGTTCTTTTATTTTCTTGCTGAGATGGAAGTAGCTCCATGTCTGGAGTGGACAGACCTGGGGTGCAATAGTTATTCCGTTTCTTCCTGAGTAAGTGACTTTGCTGTCCCGAGCCTCAGTGCCCTCATCTGCAAAACCGAAACAAGGACTAACTCTCAGGATTGCTCTGATGATTAAATGGAATCACATAAGCCCAGGGCCCGACACATAGTAGGTATTAATGGATACTTGGTCTCTTTAAATACTGTTTATTTTAAAAAAAGAAAGATGTAGTGTCGCAGGGGCAAATTCAGGGCGTGGAGTGGTGTGGAGCCAACGTTTTTTTCTCTCGTGAGCCACAGTCTGTTCATTTGCACAATAATGTTGGTAGCAGTGCCTACCAGGTGCAGACGTGGATGTCAGGGGCAAGCCTGAAAAGCATAAAAGAAATCTCTTTGCATACTGTGCGTCCCACCTATGGAAGGGGCAATGAATTCGCTCTCTAGGAGTCCCGGGTGCGAATACTAGTGCCCTCTGAGAAGCTGGCCTAATCGGCGACTCCTCGAACCGGAAGGAGCGTTTTCCCCTGCAGAATCCTGGCAGGCATCGAGCGTCTCTCAGGGTTGCAGACTCAGCGCAGGGTCTCTCCCGAGGGGCGGGGCTCGATTGAGCAGAAGAGGTGCGAGGGTTGGGTCTCCCGCTCGTTCTCCCATCTTTGGGGGCGCCAGAATGCGTCAGCAGGAGGGCAGAGCGTCTAAAAGCCTCTTTTTCACTGAAGGAGAAACTGAGGCCCACAGGAACATGGCTCCTTCTGCCTAAATTTGCTTCGCCCCGCCCCCATCACACCACCCCGCTTTAGCTCTTTCTTAGTCCTTCACACTCCCTGACAGCACCGTTTACGTATTTAGCAGTAAACGTGCTCCAGGCGAGCGAGTGCCAGGCTTGCCCAGTCCTCCCTGCGTCTCTGAACCCAGCCGAAGGCCCGGCAGAGTAGATGCTTCACAAATGTTTGCTGGATTAAAGGGTCATAATGGCATCTGAAGTGTGTGAAGGGCTTCCTGCATGGCAGGTACTGTTCCAAGTACTTCATTAATTTAGCCATCCTTAACACTCTGAATAGGTACCATTGTATTTTTACTTTATAATTTT